TTGGTAATCCGCACCTCTCCTAACTTCCAAACTACGAATTTTTTGCTTATTCACCCCACACTTTCCCCTCAGACATGACATCTCCACTGCCTCCAGCCTTCTCCCGCTGCAACATTCAACCCCCATGCTCCACCCCATATAAGAGCGTTGGAAAAAACTATACTCTAAAAACTTTCCCCCTCTTTGCCTCCAAGGACAAAGTTCTTTGTCTCCACAGATCCAAAGTGCACCACTCACTTTTTTCCCCTCATCAATTCTATGATTCACCTCATCTTTATGGGACCCATCGCTACACGTCCACTCCCAAATATCTGAAAATTTTCACCTCCCCATACTCCTCCCCCCCAATCTGATTTTAAATTTTTCATCACCAAATCTTTTTGTTACCTCAAAACCCTTTATTTTCCTGTATTCCCTTTAATTTTCTTCTTTTGCACACCCTTCCAAATTCATCCCCAATTCTGCAACTTCTTTCAAAAATTCCCCCAAAAGCACAGTGTCATAAAAAAGAGCAGCTGGAAACTCCCACTTTGTGTGTGATTCTTTATCTTTTAACCCACCCCTTTCCAAGACCCTCGATTTACTTTCTTACAACCCCATTTTAAAAATATATTAAACAACACGGTGACATCACCCCATCCTTGTCTAAGGCCACTTTTCGGGGAAAAAAATTTCCCTCTTTCCTACACCCTCTAACTTGAGCCTCACTATCCTCGTAAAAAACTCCTTCACTGCTTTCAGTAACCTACCCCCTACACCATACACTTGCAACATCTCCACATTCCCCCCCTCCCCCTGCATACCTTTTCCCAAAAATCCTAAATGCCAAAAAGACCTCTTTAGCCTTAAATTTAAAATTCTGTTCACTTTTTTGTTCACTGAAAAACCCCCTGGCCACACACCCCCTACCTTTCCAAGCCTCCTTTTTCATCGTATCCTTTTTCTCCTCTTAATCTTAATTCTTTCTTTTAAAACTCTCCAACATTTTAAAGGACACTCAACAATTATCCCCTATAATTTTTGTACTCTCTTTTATCCCCCTTTCCTTTAACAAAGGACTTGATCTTCTGCCTTTTCCCCAGGTACCTTACCCTCTTCCATACATTTTTTAAATAATTGCACCAACCCCTCCAAAATATATCCCCACCTGCTTTTAAAAATTTCTATCTTTTCCCATCAATTTCCCGGGTGCTTCCCCCCTTTATTTTACCTACGCCCCACGAAAACCCCCCCCCCCCCCCCCCCCAACTGGCTCTTCCTCATCCACCCAAAATGTTTTCCTCCTGCCCCATACACGAAACCAGCTTCCCCTCTTTATCAACATTTAAAAATTCCTCAAAAATTTCCCCCCCACTTCCCAATACCTCTAACTCTCCATTTAATACTCTCCTCTCTATTTTTAAGACAAATCCATTGTTCCTAGGGTTTCTTAACTTGTTTAAAAAACTCCCAAAACTTTTTTTTATTTTCAACAAAAAATTTTTTGTAACATCTCAAAAAAATAAAATATATATAAATTTTATATATTTTATATATATTATTATATATATTTATATTATTTATTATATATAATATATATATTTTGTGTGTGTGTGTGTGGTGGGGTTTTTTTTTTTATATAAAAATTTATATATTTATATATATTATTATTATATATATATTTAATATTATAAATATTTTATATATATATTATAAATTTTTTAGGGACCCCCTTGCCCTGGAGAAGTGCATAAAAAGACTTCAAGGAAGAATATTTGGTTTCTTCCTGAAGCCGTTTTTAAATTCCACTTCCCCTACCCCCCCATCTTTTAGTATATTTTTTTTTTTACCCAAAAGGAATATTTTATTACATAAAATGTACAGAAGATTTAAGGATACATTGTTGATATAAAGGTGGCTAAGGACATGTTGTTCGTGTGTACACCGATTTTAAAAGGGGAAAAATCTCATCCCGCCCCAGGTGGGGCGTTTTGGGCCCCAAAAAACGCAGGGGATTTCCCCTTTGAACAGCCGCACTGAGCCGGAAAGAAAACAGCTGCCCCGGGATCCCCCTTACCTGTATTTTTTCCCGCTCCTTAAGGAATTTAGATGCTCTTTTTCCCATGGCCAAGGGTCTCTGAGCCTAGGGGAAAAAACATATAATATGGGGAAGTTCTCCATATTTTTAGCTTTGGGGTCCCCGAAGCTGGCAGGCCCCTTTCCTCCCTGGGGTATTGGGGATAGGTATCAGCCAAGGGAGAGCCAAGATAGTCCCACCCACCTGCTTCCCATTTCCAGGCTTTAAGGGGGGTCCATCTGGACGTTTTGGGTGCCTCAATCTGCATAGTTGGGGTGGCTCCCTTTCTGCTTGGGGGATCAGCTGTTGTGAGGTCCCCTTTATAATTTTTTATTAACCTCCTCATGTCTTGCAATCTTCCCTGGTTTACGGCACACAAACCATGGTACCCGAATCGGTCTGTGCTTTACGCACAAAATACACCTGTGTTCGGGGAGAATAGGGGGGCAAGTCGAAGGGGAAACCGATGCGGGTTTTCTGTGGGTCGAAAACGTGTCCAAACTGGTTTTGGGAAAACCAACAAAAGTCCCCGCATGAGGGGCTCTCATGCCCGGAGGCGGGGTCTATCCTTCCCCGCCCTCTGAACATTTTTGAGGGAATTTTTTCCACTATTGGACCATCCCAGTGCGATTGTTTGTGTGTTGGGGGGAGCAGGTCTGGGTCCAAGCCCCTTTGATTTTCCCAGATCATTGCTCCGTCAATGAATTTTTGGTCCGGGCTCCTACCTTTTTCCCCCAAAAATTTTATTTTTATATATAATTTTATTTTTTATATTATATTTTATATAATATATATATTATATATATATATATATAAAAATTTTTATATATAAAATATATATATATAAAAATTTTGTGTGGGGTGGTGTGTGTGTGTGTGTTCACCTATTTTACTCACCTAATTGTTTTGCAGGGGTCGAGTCGCTACTGGGGCTCTCCTCTCTCTGCTTCCGACTTTGTAAAACCTCTTCTTAAAAATATGTAGGTTCCTCCAACTACTTCAAATTGCTAGGCTATTCCACTTGCTGACAACTCTATGTCCCGAAGAAATACTTCCTAAAGTCCCTGTGACTCTCTGGTCTTCGCTTCCAGTTGGACCCCTTGTCCCTGTGTCCCTTTTGGGAACTCCTATCTCTCCCCCCCTTGTTATTCCCCGGGTATTTTGATTTCGTTATCTGTCTCCCAGACCCTTCTGCCCCCAGTGTCGCCGTCCGTTTTCCCCTTAACCTTTCCCTCGTAGACTTTCCCTTGACCCCGGGGGACTAGCCTTTTTGCAAACTTTTGTA